AGAAAATTATAGAAACAAACTGCAATCAAAAATTCTGTTTATCCCGCTTTGCTATCATTGAACTAGATGCTACTGAAAGCTGAACTAACAATAGACACACCTAAAAAATTCAGTAATTGTTGAAACAGGTACCTACTCTAACTGTCTTGCAACTGAGGGATGAAGCCAAAAGGAAATTATTGCAAGAACCAGTAACAGACAGAAGTGCAAAGAACTTTGTTAGTTGTAGAAACAAGACATTAATATTGAAAGCTGCAAGACAAATATCAGCACAGTTCTGCTCAGAGGAAGGATTTATGCATGTAGGAAGAATAGCAAAGGGAACTCCTTGAAGGTTTCATATTTCACTGTAGATGTTAAAATATTTAAAATACAGGATCTCAGAAGCTGAAAGCTAATTTTGTTTTTTACATCAAAAAAGAAAAAAATTCTCCCACTTGGTCAAGGAGGAAGAACTTAAAAATTCTTTTCTTAATTTATAAAATTGATATCTTATAATTTTCTTATTAATCTATCCATCCATTCAGACTATACCTGGGAAAAAATTCTCTGCTTGCATTAAAAAATCGAGGAAAAAAAAATCTTTTCTTTTAGATGTTCCAAGTCCATCTTCCTTGATTAAATATCATACAGCACAGTTTGGAAATTTCCACTTTTTGGGTGGAAAGACTTTGCTCACATATCTTGCTATAAAAAAGGTACATTTTAGAATAGAAAACATACAGCCCTGATTATCAGAGATATTTGAAGTGTAGATGTTGGACTCTCCTAGATGACCAAAGTCAACATGGCTCATATGGTGGTAACCTGCTACATGGGCAGGGGCAGTGGTAGTCCTCTATCACTCAAGCTGCTCTCCATTGTGAGATTCTGTAGCCCTGCCCCTTATTTGCCCACCTTTCTAATGTTCTGGGAAATAGATATAAAAGAAGAAATACCCCCAGTTTTAAGCTATAAATGAAAAAGAAGGAGCACAGTCACTAAAAAAAAACCTAATAAAAGTGCAACCTAATCAAAGGCACTATTCATCTGTTACTTCTGCTTATGGGACCTAGAAGGAGATACAATTTAGAACAACAGAAGTAGCACAATAGTAAGAATAAATCACAGAAGCACAATGTATTTACTATGGACCACTCTACAATGCACAGTTAAATAGCAAGCAAAGGGAAACTTAACCTGTCATCCAAAAGTCTACTCTTCAAAATAATTTGTGTTACATGCATACACATTTATCAATAATTAGCAAAAAAGCTCTGACATTTTAAAATTCATTTTAAATTTCAAGGAAATTAATTACAAAATGTAAGTATTTCTATATATATATATATATGTATCTGTAGTGATACAGAAATGTTTTTTCTAGATTATGTATCATCATATTAATTTATTTAACTTAAGAACTGTAAGACATCTTGCAGAGTTGAGGATGTGGAAATGAAAACAGGCGTTCTGAAATTTGAGGTTTGGGATTTTATTAAAGATTTAGAAATTGAGAAAAGATACAAATAAGATTAAAGACTGTATGACTTTGGAGAAGTTTTGCCATTGTTTTTTATGGAAAAGTATGCGACATTAAATGTCATATCCAGCAAGTGGATGAAGACTGACAGGTAGCAGTCTTATCACATTTTTCACCTTGTTGGGTTGAAGACGTAAAACATGCTGATGTTTTACAACCAACCAACAGTGATGGAAAGTAACCATCAACTGTAGTGGGGAAAAAAAAAAAAGTTACTATTCATGTCTCCTCCTGAAATTAAAACCATTGTGCAAAAATGGATCTGGACTCACAGGGCCAGAAGGATTGATTGGGTTATGGAGACGTGGGTTCTTATTCCTGTCTCCAGATCTATTTCTGTATTAAAATTCTGTGTTAAAATTTTATAACCTAACAATGATTCAGCATCAAAACTAGAAAGAGCTCCAGAAAGTGAGGGCCAAACTGTTCTGTTAGCTAAAAGAAGCCAAGCTAATTTAATATTGTTTTGTAAGAAAGACTCTCATTCCTTGCTCACTCTGAAATTTTCTCCACATCTCTTCCAGAAACAAATAAATGTATCTTTCTTGACCACACAACTTTTTTTTTCCACTTCTACTAGTTTGTTATTTTGTTTCCTCAAGAGGAAAGTTTCTCTCCAAGACTTAACAGACATGAAACACGGAGCCAGCAAAGCCCACCACAGCACTCTGGTTCTGATTCATGCTGCTTGTGCAGTGGAGTGGCTCTGCAACTGTCCAGACAAGTTTTCTCCCTTTTGGTATCAACATGTTGTTATGAAGGCTACAACCACTAGTACATTCCTAAAAGAACTTTGCTTTCTCCAGCAAATTCAGCAAATACCCAAGTGCTCACAATACCTACAGTACATCACTTTTCTTCCTTCCGCTGGAATCCAATAACTGGACCATTCAACCTAGATGGGGTTTCTCTGCGCAGCCGGCTCTGGAAAAGGTTTTGTAGTGCCAAGGACCAGCAATGTGGGAAACAAATCTTGGCCGCAACATCAAATAACAAACTATAAGTAGTAGGGAGTGATTTCAGCATTACTTAGCAATTGAAATTTGAAAGTGTGAGGAACACGAACGTTGCTCTTACCGTCCTCTCGGCAAGTCTGCGTCATCTTTCCTCCACCGGACTGTGGGTGTGGGATCCCCCTGCACCTGGCACCGGAAATCCACGGCCTCCTCCTCCAGCACCACTTGGTTAATCGGTCGCCTGAGAAACGTGGGCCGTTCTTGAAAGAGACATTAAAATTCCTTAGTGAGTCAAAGGGTTGAAATGAACGCTTTTGACTTTTCAGCATCTTTCTGTTCACTGATTCACAGAATGAAGAAAGGAGGGTAAGCTCCACAGATTCAGACAAGTGGAACTGATGATGCACACAAAGAGCCCGGCAGACGACTCCCAGGCAGGAGAGGCAGCGGCTGTCCCACCCAGAGCCAAGGGCTACCAGAAGGAAGCCTATGCTAGCACTGACTGCCCACCTGCCACACCAGCGAGGAGGTCTCCAAGGCTGTGCCCTCCTGTGTGAACGTTTTGGCTCTGCGCCGCTGCATATGCAGACCATGATCTAAAAGATCCTGCTTGCTCTACTGGTATATCAGCTGCCAGCGGAGACGTTGCCTTTAGCAGTAATCAATATCTTGATGTTTCAGAGGAAAATGTAAGCTCTGTGTCACACGTCTCAGACAGTTGTGGACTATTGTGCAGAGGTCAGAGCTTCCCTGATCGCCATTGCTAACTTCACCATGGAAAACTAAATTATGGTCTGAATAATAAATTCTGTTTACCCTCGTTATGTTAGCCTGCACGGCTACAAATATTACTAATCATCATAATGTTGTACAGGCCTGCTTAAAATACAGATACAGAGCCACAATCCGATCTCAGTCATACTGGTACAAACTCAAATTCATCTGAAAGGATGTCACTGGGGTTAGTTTCCAAGTTGCCTTTGGATTGCATAAATTTTGTTCTGTCCTCTCCTAGCCATACCACAGTTTTACTGTCATAAATTATTTATGCGAGAGTCAAGCCATTATAAGACAGAGTTTATATGAAGCAGTATTTCCACTCAAGACAGGGATTTATTATAAAGACATTTAAAACTGGTTACACACTACATTTCACATTTCATTCTCAGCAAGTTGAAGGGTATGATGTCACTGTTAAAATTATTCAAAATTCACACAGATGTAAGCAATAGCAGATTCTGACTCGGGCAGTTTGTCTTGATAACTACAGAGACGAGTTTATGGATTAGCTATCCATGTTTATTATATTCAAATAATAAATAATTTTTTTAAAAAAAGTTAAAAGAGCATTAATAAGGTTGCTAAATCAAGTACATACCACCTCAGTGCCAGAACAAAGGCTGCCTGCATGTCCTTTAATCATTCCCTTTCTGTTTACACCTTATGGGACTCACTGCAATTATATGATCACATACTATTTTTTCCCCAAACGTGTCCAAACTGTTGGTATTCATTTAATGAGCAGGTGTTTAATATTTTGCTTTAGTTTTATTTTGCTTTAGTTGTACTATTTAGTGGGTGGCCTCTTGTTATACTACTCAAGCTTCACTTCAAAGGCAGAATTATTAATTTCCTCCATCACACCTATCTTAATGTTTCATAAACATCAACTTATTTTCATATCTCCTCTCCAAGGTGCAATGGAGATCTAAGAAAGTAAGCTAAAATAAATCTGCTAAATTTCGATGCTCACCCTGAGACACAAAACTGCCTTTTTGTAGTTGTTGTTCAGAATTTAGCATTAATTTTTTGTTTTCAAAGCTCAGCTTCCATTGAATTCAGTTGCAGCCTACAGAAGTGTTCACCACTTTTACAAATCAGAAAATAAAGAACACAAAACCACCTGTTAATCATTATGTAAATGAATGACAGCATCACCTAGGAATTCCCTGATACTAGCAGGGGGACCTATTGGCAGGGAAAAACCTATTTTGTCAGAAGAAGAATAGACATGCTCAAGAATCTACAGCAGTTTTCCAGATGCTAGAGATAAAAACATGTCTAACTGGCAGAGATTCTTCTCCCTATTTCTCCCAAGCCATTGCTTTTTTCTATTCTTAGTCCTGCCTGGGACCTGCAGGTTCCGGCAGCATTTGGGCAAGTAAATTCAGTGCTAGTCTCTCTCTGCACCTTGAATTCTCAGTCTTTATTCCCTGTTTCAAGTCTGTGTACAAGCCATATGCAACCTTCACTACAGGTGCTTGTCCTAAGAGTACTTTGTAAGATTTTTCCTTCCCTGTCTGTGTAAGTCTCCTGACTCTTCCCAATCTCCAGGTAGATTTGCTCCTGCCCTCACCTATGCGTCTTTGGCAGGTTGTGACAGAGCCTCAAGGCCCTCTCTGTTCCAGCCACTGGCTGTGCCAGCTCTTTTCAGCTGCTGACAGCTTTCTTAGCTGGTTTGTCTCCTACTAGCCCAGAATATTACCTTTTACACCTGGAACCCAGAAAGTTCATAAGTCCCAACTATCCGTGCCTCTCACTTCTTCACACCTCACAGCAAACTGACTCTTTGCTCCATGTTTGAACTACAATTGAACTGAAGCTTCTTTGCTCTCTGCCACCCAGATACAGCCCATCCACAATATTAACACCAGAAAAAGCACGTGAAGCAGTCGAACGTCACCCCAGAAGAGTGACAGCAGCAGGACTGCAGTGCAGTTGCAGGAAAAATGCTGTTCAGACCTGCCCTCTAACTGGTGTTTCTGGTGTATGAACTGATGATTTTTTTTTTTTTTTTAAAAACTTGCATAACTGGCTAAATTTAGTGAAAATTCTTCAGACAAGCAAAAAATAACATCTCTGGCACTGTGTAGCTATTTCCCATCAAATTTTTAGGTCGCTGTTACTCAATATGAGGGACCTGCATTTCTCAGGACAGAAAGCTTCCCCAATTTCTCTCCTTCAGCTCCTTCCCCATTTCCCTCTCACCACCCCTTCCACTCGCAAACTCCAGAAACTTCAACTTTTCAGAAAAGAATGAATTAATTTGGCAATGAAAATAAATTAAAAAAAAAAAAAACCAGTTTTCCAATGAGGCATGGAAAATTTTTGATAAAGCCTTTTAGTTTGACAAATTTTTTAAAAATGGACAAAGCATTAGTTGTTATCTTAATGCTATGCAATGTACTTGGCCTGCCTGTAATTATGTGGATCTAGAAAGGACTATCTTAATGAAAGTTTCTGTAAGTTTGCAACAGTATCTTATTTACAACTTCTCTCCTAGGAACAGCTCAGACTTACCCCTGCTCTGAGCTCAGACACAATATACTCTACATTTTGTTGTTTGCTTTTCAAGAGATGATCCTAAATCAATAAATTATTCGAATCAGCGTCCTTATAAGTGATTTAGACACCCTGATTCATCCACACTGAATTTAAATAACTCTGCATGAGCCTGTATGTTTGACTCGGTCTGCATGCAAAAATTATTTTAGACCATGTTTATAAAAGCTGCCTGTAAACAACTAAGAAACTAACTTATGCATGTTTATGAAATTCCTACTTGTAGCTTTAAATACTTCTATATGTGAGATAAGAAAATAAATTTCTATCACATTTTGAGTAGAACTCTGCTGATGAGACAGCAAATGGCCCAAAGGACATCAGGTGTACCACTTGATTCTAAATCGAGGCAATTTAGCAGTATACATACATGTTTGTTTCAAATCAGCTTCTCAAACTGCATATTTTCCAAAACAGTTAAGAATTCACTAGAAAATAAATAGCCATGTAAGTACAGATTCCAGTCAGCAAGGACATGCAAATATCCATAACTGCTATTTCCAGTTTTCCATCATCTTTGCATTTTGCACAGCGTGGATCAGGAAAGAACAACTTATGTGTCACATTTCCTGTATTTGTATCACTCAGACCACCCCTTGAATATCTTCAGCTATTATACAGTTATAAAGTGATCAGAGTGAATGCCATTGTCAATGCAATTAACATTCTTTATGTGAGATTAACTGGATTTGAGTCACCTGCATAACTTGCTTACAATGTTAATCTCTCAGGAGACAGAGCACTGCTTGCCCAAGCATGCTAAATAAAGCAGGTTTCTTCACACAGCCAGGTCAAACTTAGTTTCAGAGCTAAACTTGAGAAAAAAAAAAACCAAGCCTTTTTTTTTTCTGTTTTTTTCCTTTTGAAATGGTTTGTCCATAAATAAAAGCTTATGGTATAATTAAACATTGTTACTCTGTCAACAGCATTCAGAACACAATATATTTGAGAAACAACAAGGCTAATAAACTAAAATCATAGACATATATAAAGATTTTAATATAGCTATTTTATAAGCTTTCACTAAGTAAATAAAGTACCCACTTCCCAGACTTTCTCTGATGAATATTAAAAATGTTTGAAGAGAACTATAAAATAGGTCATGGTTATAGGTCATATCAGCCAGTCGTGCTATTACTAGAGTGACCTTTATAGCTTCGGAATAAACTCTGCTTGCAGTTATAAAAGGCGATTGTTAATGCAATTTGGACACACACCTACAATCTGCTGGCAGTGCTTGAGATATGTGCTGCACCAAAACCTATGGAACTAATCCTAACCAGAAACATAGGAAAATATTTCCTTGCTTTGGGTGCTGACAGAACTTAACCCCCGAACTCAATTTTCCCTCTATTTAACAACTGGTCTGAGTATCACAGTCTATTAGAGAGACTCAGATGACCTTCAGATGTATTATTGCCCTTTCTCTGTTCCTCAAAAAGTCACACAGCCATATATGGAACCTCAATCTAATTAAAATGATCCTAACCACCTTAATACATTTTCTCTGCTGAGGCAACTGTTAGAGTGAAGGATTTGATGGTCTCCACAATGTGGAGGCTAAATCTGATTTCAAACTATTTTCTCAACTTTGTTGGAGAGAAGGCATCAGATTATTTTTTTCAAAATCTTTTTGTATTCTACAAAGAAGTATTAAACAAATTAAAAAGCTTTGGGGAGTTATTTAATAGCAAACACTTAAAAGCTCGTTTCACTTCAGTATTCTGATGTAAAGGAAGAAGAAGAAACGTTAGATGGTTGGAAGTAGCTTTCACTTCAGAATGCTGTCAATAGCATAGGTATTTCATTAACTGCAACATAATTTGGATAATGCAAAGCACTCTGCTAAAAATGAAGACGTGGAAGACAGGATATTAGGATCACGCTAAATTTACCTAAATTGGCCAAATAAATGAATATACAACTGCAAAAGAAGATGGTTTTATATTTGAAAACGTTCTTCCACTGCCTCTTTTTAAGCACTTTGTCATTTTTCATTTGAGAAACAAGTATTTGTGGAGACATTGCAAACTTCTACATTCTAAACAGTGCCCAAGATGTGATGAACTTGCACAGTGTAAAAGCATGAAGCACTGTTAGGAGGCAAAGGCAAATAAAGTAGAATGATTTTTATCACTTGCTAGTGTTTTTCTCCTTTTATAAATATCTACAACCATTTTATTTTCATTTTTTACTGACTATTAGGTAGGACTTTGGAGACCAAATAAGACCCTTTTTCACAGCAGTAGCATTAATTTATTACAACTTCTAATAACAATGTATTTGTGGATAACAAATACTGCACAGCCAAACTGGCTTTCTCCTAACTGCCACAAGTAGATTGCAAGTGGGAAACACAAGGATTTGAAGAAAAACAGGAGGAGTTTTGCTCTGAAGGACAAAATGCACACCACCAATTTCTCTGTTGTTAACTGTGGACGTATACTTGGTTTGGGTAGTTTTTCCAAGTAGCTGTGAAAACCTCTGGGACTAATTTTTAGGATGTGATGGGACAAGACTCTCTGCTAAGGCCTTTCACATAGTCAGAGCTCAGAAAGCAAAGTAGGGCATGATGTCTTCACTAAGGGATTTTCGGATTTTCTTCCTCTTACAATCATGTCATCATAGTATATTCTTTCTGGAATTATGGTATCTCTTCCAGCCTGACAATGTCTAGAGAACATCAAACACAAATACTTCTTCAAGCATCAAACGAAAACACCTTTTCATCCCATAGGACCTTATTAGCTGAAAAAAGGTTCAGTTACCAAAGCCAAAATCAAAGATTAATCCAAAACAATCTTTAATATGTCTGAATTGACACATCTTTTAAGATATTTTTTCACTTTTCCTAGTTATGCTTTATATTCTTTGAAGGCTCTTCTAAATATATCTTTTTCCACTGCTTGACGCCAGCCTCTTCAAGTTGATATATTAAGGCTTTCATTGATTTCACTGAGCTTCAGAATCAATATACAAGATATACCTTTGTACATTCTCTTCAAATATACCATTTTATGTCCAAATGAAAAAGAAAAAGGAGCCTGAAATAGTTAAAAAAACTTGAAAACTTATCCGAGAACAGTGCAGTACTACAACAAAATGATAAAAGGTTAACTTAAACAGTAATTCCTACTTTATTTAATTTCTGGCTCCATATTATTTATTTACAGACCAAGCTCTCTCACAAATTGGAATGAAACTGTTTCTGTTTTGCATCTTTCTTTAATTCTGTTTAGCCAAAGGCTGTGAGCCCAAACAGAAGCGAAGCAGCCTAATTTGTATCACTTACACTTCTGAATTTGGCCTTTAGAATAGCATGTCCACAATAATAAAGTATGATGCTGCCTCCTTTTGTGAACGTTAGGATTGACTGATGGATTAGTTATTAAGTTCCTTTAAAGGCCAACTTAGACTCCATGACAGACCCTGTTTTCTTACTTTACTCCAAGATTACACCTTGGAGCCTCATAAAGGCAAAAACTAGCAGCAGTGCTGGAAAGAGAAGACTAACATAATGTAATGCATCATTGTCACTATTAAAAACATGGGGATAATTTTGGGAAGCACTGCTTATATAATCAGTTTGCTTTATGACATTTTATCATGAAAATTTGGCAATTTTCTACTAGCAGAAGAATCATGACTGGAACAAAAGAAATGCACCAACAATAACAGTACAATATTAGTGGTGCCTAAATGTTGAAAACTAGGTTTCCTATGCAGATGGACTTGAAAATAAACCCCACTTGTTTCCTGAAAGTTCTACATTTATTACCCAAAACTGTTTCTCAGCAAAAGTTATTGAATGGGTACCCAGCCAAATGGATACATTCTACACATAGGAAACTTTCGTTTCTTTCCTCCTACTTCTTTCCCAAGTTCTTATTGCCCTTTATATACTTTTTTTTTTTTTTTTTTTAACTCAGGAAAGGTGTAATCTTTTAGGCTAGGCTTCCTTGCTGTTCCCCTTGGGCCACCAGTTACCACCACAATGACTTCAGTTTTTCCAGCGGCAATGCCTCAAGCTAAATTTACTGTACAGGGAGCCAGAGATCTGTCATGAGTCACATGCAGAAATTAGCTTCAGGTATTACATAAAAACTTGCAAAGCCAAAAGTAACAAGTGGCTGATTCCTGGAAAGGTTTGAGAATGAGTGTGAAACAGTTACTTTTCCTACAGAGTAGAGTATTTACTAAGGCTTCCTTCACGCTACAGTAAGGGGTTAGGGGTTTGCAATTTGGAAAAGGAATAGAGACATTAATAATCAGCTAATTAATACATATTCCTCTCCAGAATCAGCACCAGCTGTAGGCTTGCCAGCCAATTTATTAAATTCTCTAAGTCTCGTAGCTAAGATATCTTAATTTTAATTATAAAGCCCATTTTCAAATTTGTTTAAAACAGTTGAAGTTCAGCACATGAACAATATATAAGTACTACGATATTTTTAGCATTTTTATCTCAATATTTGGACTATGCCCACGTTCCTCAGACCTGTGGCAGATGACCTATGGTTTTGTCTGTATTCGGTAAAGTCGATCTGAAGATTCACAGCCAATCTGATGTTTCCGAGAGTTGCTGGATTTACTGGTTTTACTGTGCATGCCCAGACGGGTTGGGGTGTCCAGTAGACATATTTCTTCCTGGAAACATCATGGATAGTGCTCTCGAGCGCACTGTGTGCACCCACGAGCCACTGCCTGGAGCCCAGACACAAAGTAAAACTGTTCTGCTGGTGGAAGGCAAAGCCAAGCCACCTCCTTTTGCTCCAAGTGGGACAGGACTAAGCTGGACACATCTGTATAGTGAGTCCAGTACACAAACACAGAGCTTTAGGGCCAGGTGACAGCCAGGAAATGGGCACAGGAGAGACAAACTGTCTTGTCGAACAGCAGATCATACATAGCCCAAGTGCCTGCTTCCTGCATTCTACTCTTGTACACCAAAAAGGACAATAGGAAGGGAACACCTAGATAAAAGGGGACTTTTAAATAGGAAGATACCCAGGTAGGAAAGGAATTCTAAATACAACTTTCTTTGGCTAGTCTAACACAATTATAAAGAATTAAAATATCTCATTTTATTTATTGCTTATTTTGTTTAGTATTCAGAAAATAGGTCAGATTGTATTCTAAAAGTTGATTGTTATGATTAAAACCCATTTCAAAGAATCAGAATATTGTAATTGGCTACGTATTATTTTACATTCCAAAACAAACCTAATACTTTTCATAGCTCTGCAGGAAATGAAATTACATGCATAGCTCAGTTTTTATTCCTGCAGTTCAATGCTTTTTAACAAATTATTTTCTTAAGGATTTCTTAAGGCTTTGTAGTTTGGGATTGCAATCTGCTTGCTATCCACAGGGAGTATTACCAGAGATTATCAGTATTTAAACTGATGAAGAAGATATGTCATGTCTCTTTTACATCTGTATAAAGGCACAACTTCAACAGATTGGCTCCAAAGGACATCATCATTTGATAGAGATCCTTTCTGTGAAGGCATATTAGTTCTGTCTTTAAAAGTCATATGCTTCCATGAGTACACAACAAACTAAGTCGAGTGGAAGCCTTTACAGTCTTGTAATGTTAGAAAGCAGCAAATATTCAGTCACGGATCTTGTCTAGCAGAAACTTTTCTATGCTGTTTGTGAATCTCATAATGTGGTTTCTTCAAAGTGAACAAACAAACGTTGAATTGCACATGCATACACACACAGAGAGCAATACGTGTGACTGGGTTTTCCAGTGCACCATGTTAGGCAGAAGGCGAAAAAAAATTAGGACCATCTGCTTTGGAAAGGACTTTAGGATTTCTATGAGAAGTCTTACTGGAATTACAAGCTTACAGGTCTGGAATGACAAGAATTAGAAGTTTGGAATTTCAATATCAAGGACATTGGAGAAGTGTGGCAGGAGGGAATCTTAACACAATTACATTTTGTATGCACGCATGCATGCGTTTTCCTTAGCTGGGAGGCCTTTTTTTCCGTATTGATTTTCCTTTGTTTGCCAAAGACCACTTGACTAATTCCTGCAAAACCACATCTAATAGTAAAAAGAAATGTCATGACTGCAGGATGTCCCACAGCAGGATTTTTCAGCTTTACTTCTTATCTAGTTGTTAGCAGGATGGATCCAGCTCTAGGTTCAGTATTATTCTATTCTTGCTTCTGACCCTAACCATAGGGCAAATGCTCCTAACAGCTTCTTGCCTTGCCCATCAACTTTGGAAGCCGTTTCACACAGGAAATCTATTAACTTCTGATTCACTGAGAAGCATCAAAACCAATGATGATGGTTACAGGCTTACAGAATGAAAAGCTGTTTCCTGCCCTTTAAAAAATTAATGACAAAACTATCTTTATAGATTCAAAAAGTTGACCTCAGAATTTTTTCCAATGACTTTCTACTGATCAGTTGAGCTCTTTTGTGGTCTCCTACAAAGGTTTGATTTCACAGCCCCACAGAAATAAGGAAATACTTGAACAGGCAATGCTGATAAAAAATCTCTGTTAAGAAGGCATTGTCAACTGTTTTAGAAGTAGCTTAATTACATTTGGTAATTTTGTGAAGGAGAGTACAATGTCCTGCATTACTGGCTCTGAGTTTGTGTGTATCACTAAGGACCTACAATTAGATTGAACCTATGCACTTAGAAGGAAAATGTTGAGCCATCACAGTTCCATAATTATAATCTGCAGTCTTTGAAACCTGGTCTTCTTCAGAAACTGAGAAATGCAGCTCAAGCAGTACTATAGCATTTTGTTAAGCTGTTTTTGCCTCATATTTTGGTAAGTCATCCAGGCTGATTCACGCTATGACATTGGTAGTGAAAAGGAAATAAAAGCTTGAGTGGCTTTACCGAAGACAGTCAGCTCTGCTGGGTCGCTGTCTCGCTCCCCCACCATGTTTGTTCCGACACAAGTGTACATGCCGGCATCACTTTTCCTTGTATTGGAGATCATCAGCTTCCCACCACGTATCTGTTTCAAAACAAGGATTATGTTTTTAACTTCAGATAAACAGAATATCTCAGAAAGAAAGCTGCCTTCTCAGGCAGCAAGTTCCACAACTAAGGCATTTAAAAATTTTGTTTGTAAACATAAAAACAGCTTTAAAATAATAATCATATATACTTTAATATCTTTAGCTGTTCTAGAACTTGTTTTATCCTACTGACTGACTTTCATTTCAACAGCTTTTTAGTTTTTTATTTGGTTTTCATTAGATGCTTACATTTCGTGTTGCTTCTTCAGTGAGAGGAATAGTTAGTCAGTATGCATTCCTACTCAGGAACAGTAATTTTTTAGAGTATAACTTCACCCTTCATTCAGAATACACATCCTAATTACTGCACTAAATACATTACCAATATCATCCTAAGCTGTAGTGGTTTTCCCACTGAATATTTGTGTCCCTCTTAGATAGACTGATTACATCTTTAAAACAACTCTGACACAAGTTCTGATATTCTTATTCCAGTAAACTAAGATCTCATTTCAGTGAACTGAGATCTAGAAAACATGAGACCAGATAGGTCAGACATCCACTGAGTCCCCCATCTAAAAGGGCACACTATATGAGTAAATCTACAGATCTCATGGGCCTCCATTACATTGGTGATACACACCAAGCCTCAAGAAATTCAAGTTGGAAACCCAGACCAGAAGGAATAAACAAACTTCTGCTGCTCATTTGGGAAAGCCTGGAGAAGTAAACTGCCAAGAGTAATGATGAGTCTCTATGGGTAAAGATATTAAAGCTGTAACATTCTGCTGCACTCAGCTGCAGAGCTTCAGTGAAGGCCCTGTGACCATAGGCAACCACCTGAGTTGTACT